GAGCAGGTTGTGGCATATCTGTGCCATGTAATGCCCTTCCCGGCACGGGCCCGGCACAGGGTGAATGCATCACGTGAACGGACACAGTCGCTGTCAGGTTTCTCATAGGCATTATGCTTTGTGGGTCATCGACAGCATCCAGAAGCACAAGGAGACCTTGCCATGCTGCTCACCCCAAACACATACCTATTCCTCTAGTGCTGCCTTGCTGCCAACCTCCTGCTCAGGAGACCAACTGGTCAGGCCCACTGGTCTCTGGCTGTCCTGTGCTGAGGCCAGGGCAGCCTTTTAACCACACGTTACAGGACGATGCAGCCAGTCCCTTGTGTGTCCCTGATCCAGGAGATCACCAAGGGCTCTGCATTTTTGCCCCCCAGCAAAGCACCTGGGAAGAAAAGAGGCCGGAGATTCCCAGAGAACTTGTCAGTGAAGGTGTAGATGTGGGAGCGGTCAGTCACATTATAAAATGAGATTTCTCCTGCCTCATAGTCCAGGAAGATTCCAATGCACCGGGGTCTCACGCTCAGGTTCAGAAGGGAAATCGGGGAAGTGAGGGCTTCATAGTTGCCACTGTTCTGCAGCCGCAGCACCCAATAGCCATTGCTAGGTGAGAAGAGGATGGTGCCTTTCCGGCTGGCTGACTCCCTGCACAGCCCCAAGCCCCACTCTGTCTTATCTCCCACCTGCACTTCCCAGTAGCGCCGGCCGGAGAAGAAGGCCTGAACCCCCAGCACCAGCGGCGTGGTGTTAAACCTCTTGGGGTTGTCAAAGAGGGACAGAATCAGCTTCTTGCCTCCTCGCTTCACGCTTTTCCGGTCTTCAGACAGGGTGAGTTCAGGATGTGCTGTCTCAGGGTCCAGAATCACATCCACTGGAATGAGGAGAATAAATGAAGGAGGTACAGGACTTTATGGATGAATTAACATGCAGACAATGACATGAATGGATGAGTCTGCTACAGAGATGCTGAACTTTTCCAGCTTCAGCTACTGCTGGCTACTATATTTAACTGCATGTGTCCATGGTTTTGTACAGTACCTAGCACTGGAAGTCCTGGCCCAGCACTAGCGAAATATAATTTACAAAATCATTTTTACTATAAACCACATCAAAAAATTTGGCATGCAGCTACAGAGCAGGAAGAACATCAGTGCATCTCAGCAGCCTCCCTGACACAACTTTAGAAGTCTGTAGGCAACATGGAGCCTGAGACTCCTAAGTGCCCTCCTAGGCTTCAGGGCACCTCACAAACCACCCAAGATCAGAATAAAGAAAGTCTTCCCACCCTGAAACCAATCTGAACTCATCTGTATGCAACTGGGACCAATTGAACAAAACTTGTTGAAAAAAACTGCAGTTAGCACTTGTGCTAATGAGAAAGTTGCATTATCTGAGCTAAAAAGATGTATGATCTGAAAACATTTTAATTTAAAGATGAGTCGCAGCCTGGGTGGACTCTCTTACCACAGCCAGTCTGGAATTGGTTCACATTAAACCAAAACTCTTCACTCCCAAAAGTGCCAACAGTGTGGGAACCAGCCCTTGCTTCACCAGGCTGACTTGCAGAGTAACACTACAATGATGCAACTTTCCTCATGTAAATATGACCTTTATTAAACTGTCTAGTGTAGACAGGGCCAAAGACTGCAGTCCCAGATCCCCTCCTGAACAAGCAGCGTTTGCCAAAGGCCTTTTCCTACCTGAATGCTCATCACCACAGCACAGCTCACTACCGCTTGTCAGAGACTTTCATATGTGCCCATTTGCTGGTGTTGGCGGTGGTCAAGGACAAGAGCAGAGCCACGTCTGCACTGAGTGCGCTGACACCTCTCCCTGTGCCACAGCATACAGCAGGAGGGCCAGGATTGAAATGTGCCAGGACCTGGCACAAAAGCAGCTGCCTTACCTTTGAATTTCTTCAGCATGTCCCTCATGCCCAGGCAGCGCTCTGGGATGCTGTAATCTTCTAGCAGGGTCACAGAAACAGCTCTGGGGGCCTGGAATTTCATCCCTTCGCACCTGAAAAGAGCATATTGCCTACGAGCCGACACAGAGTCCCAGCCATACCCAGCACCCACAACACAGCTAGTCTCCTGCTGCATCTCAGGGGGCTTTTTAATCCCTTTCTGTTGGCTGCACAGACACCGTTTCAGGAGCCCCAGCCCTGACTGCACCCGGCTCAGGTGGCACAGGAGAGCAAGTCGAATCTGCTCTCCAGCAGATCCGGCTGCATCAAGCTATCCACAGCATCTGTTTCCTTCTGTCTTTCCTGGGTTAGAGAGAGATTTAGCCAGTGATCCCCAGCCCTTGGCAATCCCCAACCTCCACGGCAGCTCCCCAGGGTCACTGCACCTGTTGCTGCAAGCTCTTCGGCCACGGCAAAGCGCCTGGACTAACTGCTTGCCTAGCAGCAAGCCAGATGGGATCTACACACTGGATCTAAACTACATACAGGAAAGGGGTCCCAGGTGAGCTGCAGTGCCAATCCTGGGTGGGAACACCCTGTGGAAAGGAAGGAGTGAGGCCAGCCCAGCAGCACATCCCTTAGGAGCCCTTCTCATATCCTGCGGGTCCAGGCAAGACCTTGGTTCTGAGGGCCACAGAAGACGACAGGCATTGAGTCTCTCTTGCTTGCCTGCACTGGTTTCAGTCCCCTCCTCTGTCTGTCCCTGGTCACTGGGCCTCACCACTAGGAAGGACCTAGCTTGAAGCTAGGCAGGGGCTGTGCAGGGAGGACAGGGAATGGCCTGGCACAGAGCAGATGTGAACACCACGCTTAGAGCATGGAGGCAGCCAGGACAGTAGGAGGAATGAGCACTGGTACCTACCTGTTCAGGATGCTTTTCATGTCCTAGAAGAAGAGAAAAAACTTTTTTGGTGTGTCACTCCAGAGTCTCATGCCTATCAGTCGGCCTGGCCCCCAGCCACCTGCCTCACTCTGCACAGCCCTTCAGTCGTGGCCTTGCTCCTCAATTGTCATAGGTCCCGGTGCATGTCTGCCCTGTGGAGCGGGCAACACACCCAAGCAAGCTCTGACTGGCTGCCCTGGTTGTGCCTGCCCAGTGCCAGCCTGCCCTGCTCCACAGGACAGTTTGCAAGCTCTCCTGAGCACTGCCGAGGTCCACAGCGGCAGCTGTCTCTCCATTGCACTGTAGGTCACGCATCCTCTCCACCTCCGAGGACAGGCCACATCTCAGTGTGTGCTGGCTCTCCTTCAGCACAATAGGAGAGGTCTCCCATCGCATAGGAGGAGGAGAGGAGGATCCCATCACCTACTGCCGAGTTGGACTCTGCCCTGAACTGATGCAGGGAAAGGAACAGAGCAATGGGCCTTTCTCACACCATTATTCACCTGGGGACCTGTCAGACTAGACATAAGGGCTGGCAATCCCCAGGGCTCAAGATGCCCTGTGAGCCCTCACAGGCAGCCTTGCAGAGCAGATTCCCCTTAGCACAGGACAGATATCAGGTCTGGATAGAAAAGACCTCAGGGCTGAGGTTGGGGACTAAGTTAGTGGGATACAGACACTTTGGGCTTTGGGATGGCAGGAGCCACACATACCTCGGGTATCACCGATGGTCTGGGCCTGTTCCCTCTTGTGGGGAGATCAAGAGTTCGTATGTATATGGAAGGGAGGAAGGAACCTTTCCCCATCACTGCCACTGCTTTCCTGAGCACAGCTCCATCCCAGGGTGCTTTGGAAACCCAAATGTGGTTGGGATAGACAGTATCCCCCTGCCCTGGTGAGCAGAGTTGGTTGAATGCATTGTCTCCAGCCCCCAGGAGCATGGCCAGTGCAGTTGGAGCTCCCCAGGCCTCCCCTGCTGTGGGCTGCCCACCTTCCCTCTTCTCTGTGTCAGCCTGGCCCCTGGCAACCCCACATCAGAAGTATGGCCCCTCTCCCAGCCCCAGGAGAGAGAGGGCTGGCGGCACAGCCTGACCTTGAGCAGCCCATCAGCTGGCTCCTGGAACTTCTCCTTTATCTCCAGGATCAGCAGGTCCAGAGAGGACTTTTGCTCCACGAGCTGGGCAAGGTTTTCACTGACCATCAGCAGAATCCTCTTCTCTTCCTCCTCCAGCTTCTGAAGCAGCAGCTTCTCTTCATCAGCCAGCAGCCGATGCAGTTTTCCAAACTCACTCACAATCCTTTCCCTTTTTTTCTTCACTGCCTCCTTGTGAAAGGAAAGACACATGGTGGAAGGAGAGGCAATGTTAGCCAGGCAGCTAACACAAAGCCCAAAACTACACACACTCAGTGGTCAGGCCATGGGAAACCACCCCACTTTTGGATCAGAGTGTTTATTTAAATTAACAGCCAAAGACTAAAAGGTGGGCTTTCACCTAGTATCTGACTTGACATCCTTAATTTATCAGCAGTAGGGCCTTGCCCAGGGCAGTTCTGGTCAGCTGGTCCTCAGATATCTAGAGATGTCCCAGTGCAGCACAGGGTGATTATCTAGGTGGGATGATGGACTGCGAGGATATGCCATCAGGCTTAGGGCACAGGTTTTTATTAGAAGGTGTACTATTCACCTACAAGCTAGGCGCAGGCTAATGTGCTGCTTGAACACTGCATGTCCAGTAGCACACCCAGCACTGGGGAGGAACTGAGGGAGGGAGAGAAGGAGCCAGGAAGGCCTCTCTGGGGTGCTGAGAGCTCTTACTAGGGTCTGGGGGCGAGGATCCAACAACAGGTAGGGTCTGGCTACGCTTTAGAGTTTTTTCCTGAGTCCTAAAGCTTTGTACTTGGCTCAGAACCTGAAGCACAGGAGCTGGCATCCTCCAGAAAATATGCTGTGGTTAATTGGGACCATAAAGCCTCAAAACCCAGAAGGTAAATGAAAGGAAACCGAACTGTATTTATTTATTTATTTATTTACTGTATTTTTCTGTCCAAGCACATGATTTCTTGGAAGTGACTCATGTATGCTTGATAAGCCAGGACTGTCAGCCACTTCCGCTTCACCACTTGCAAGGGACATTTTTTCCTTTTCACTAAAATAGCATAATCAGCCTCAGAAAGCCTGAAGGCAGCAGAGCTGTGACCCTACAAGGCGATCTCCTAGCCCTGACTCAGGCAGGGCAGGCGGAGGTGAGAATGACACTGCTGTTTCACAACATCCATCTCCTCTAGTCCTCTCCTGCCACCCAGGACAGCTGGTAGCACCAGCACTCCAAGTAGCCATCACATCCTGGCTTGCTAGGCGAGGGGTTGGCCTGGCCAGAGAGAGCAGCAGTTGGTGACAGCCGTGGCCAGGCAGAGGAGCCGAGCAAATAAACAGGGAAAGCTGGAGAAACCTGTTTTCCCTGCCATTGCTCCCTGCTTAGTCACCAATTCTAGCTCAGGACTCAATAACTCAGTCCAGCAGTTTCGTTTCCTTTTCTGCAGTTACTTTTACTTTCCAGTTTCTACCCTGAAGGGACTGGTTTTAGCTTGAAAGGCAGCTGTTTTGCAGGCATCTTATCTCCTGGGATAGAGTGGTAGTCAGACAGAGGCCTGGTAATTCAACTTTTCTTTTTTCAATGAAAGCACTTCTAGTTCCTACGGTTGTGGAGTAGAGCTCATCATACGGCTCAAGCCTGGCTTTTAACGTAAGCACATATTGTAAAACCAAGGCAAATAAAAAATATCCAATGTCTTTTTGTTTAACAAGCACACGTGACCCCATGACTTCATTGGAGCTGACATGCTGCTCTTTTCAAAGCCTTTCTGGACTATTTAATTTTTTTTAGAGCCACACACATTTACTGAACCTGGTTTCCACAAGCTCCAATTACAGCCTCAGGGCCAACACCGCATGCCAGCATTGCCTGTTGGTATGAGCATGTTACACCTACTTGTTGTGCATAGCCGTGAGGACTGCTGCAAGCCAGAATACCAAAACACCAAGGAAACACAGCACTTTGAACCATATGCTGGGTCATTTGCTTCATAGAGAAGGTGCTATTGCACTGTCACTGAGCCCCTCTCTGTGGCCAGGCTCCCCTGTGGATGTGGGTCTTCCACGTGAAAGCAAGACATGGTGACACGTCCCACCCGAGGACTATACGAAATGTGTGACAAATTCAATGGCCCTGGCCCAGAACACTCAGTAGTTTGTAAAGGTGCCTAAGCTGGTTCCTTAAAAATTAAAACAGGCACCTGCCTTGCAATCCTGGATTTTCATCCTTTCTGCTGACTCACGTTTCTTCACTTCTTCCACTTCCTTGGAAAGATACTCCAGAGATTTCTGGAGTTTAACCTGAAAAGGCAATAAACAAGGTCAGCTCACCGCAGCAGTGGCCAGCGCGTGCCACAGGTCATCCCACAGCCTGCAGCTGCCAGCGCCTGAAGGCAGCAAGGGGAGAGTTACTGTCCTGCCAGGCGATGCCTCCCCTGCGTGCCAGCCCTGGCACCCGAAGCCAGCAGCTGCGCTCCTCATTCCTCTCGCAGCTTTCACCCTCCCTGCACTGCCCTGGTTTTCTCACAGTTTCCTCACTGTTTGGGTTTGGAGGGCAAACCGTGCGAACAGGCACCGACCTCTCTGCACTGCCAGGATGCGGGGCAGCTGCCATCCACTCCGCTGCCCGAGGCGCCCCGCTTCCCTGATGGTGCCAGAATAGCGTACAGCTATTTGACGACAGCAGAGAGGGGTGGCTGCCAGCCCCAGGACCGTGCCCCCCACGACCTGCCAGGGACGAGCTGCCTGGCCCCCCAAAGCCGAGCTCCCCACGCACAGCACAGCACCCTGGGGTGCCAGGGATGCTGCTGCCATGGGGCCAGCCCCATCCAAGGCAGGCACAAGGCCCAAGGCAGGTGCAAGGCCTCGCGCTCTTTTCGCCTGTCGACACCGTGTCCTTGTTCAGCTGAGCCTCCCCTACCTTGTAGACCTGTGCGGCCTCCTCGATGGGGTAGACAGTGTGAGGGCGGTGGTGCAGGGATTCCCTGCACACCACGCAGATGGCCTCCTCGTCCTCCTCGCAGAAGAGCTTGAGCCGCTCATCGTGCGTGGCACACAGGAGAGCCCCCGGCCCCGGGCCGGCCCGCAGCCCCAGCTGCCGGATGCTCTCCACGATGTTGGCCAGCTGCCGGTTGGGGCGGAAGTTGCTGCGGTGGCACGCGGCTCGGCACTGCGGGCAGGAGAAGGGTCCGTCGGCCCAGAGACCCTTCTCCTGGCAGTGCTTGGCAATGCAACCGCGGCAGAAGTTGTGCCCACAGTCGACGCTCAGCCAGGAAGAGCCCACTGGTGGGGCAGGCAGGGCTATGGTAATGTCCCCAGAAAGCCCGCGGGACTGGTGTCGGTCGGCCACGCCAGCGCTTCCTGAGAGGCGCGGGAGGAGAAACCTGCCCCGCAGCGAGCTTACATAAGAGCAGCGTCCGGGTCGGCGCCCTGGCTTGGAATGCTCCGCGCTGGCTTGGGGAGGAGCATGGTGCACATGAGGGACACCCGCAGCCAGCCTTAAAGGCGCTTTCCTCTTAGCCCAGGCAGATCAAGGCAAAACAAAAACTCTGCAGGAGGAAAACCAGGACAAATTAGGAAGAGTCAGAAATAATCCAGGCCCGTAGATAACCCCAGGCACCTGGAAAGCCCGTGTGGCCATCCCTTGCTCCTCTGACCAAATTTGCAGTGGAGGGCTGATCCAGCAAAGAGGACTGCAAGGTGACCAAGCAGAGTAGCCCTGGGTAACTCCGCTGCATTTTAACTAGCAACGAGAGCCCAGTCATTTCTCCTCTGGTTTCTTTTCACAGTTTGCATCAATGTCCTGTCTGAGCTCAGTGGCCCCTGAGTCTAACCACACTGTCCAATCAGTCTTTAAAAACATTCCCAGTATTACCTGCCCATCTTATTAGAAAGCTGCAAGCTTAGATATTTAAATATAAAGTGCTAATCCAAGGCACACCAAAAGCCACAACTCACACAGGTTTGCAGGCAGTAAGTACCCTCACAAGGGCTGTCCAGAAGGGGAAGGAGGCAAAAGCAGCTTGCCAGGATCTCCACCGCGAAAGGCCAGAGACAAGGATCGTTTCATCCCGATGGCCTGAGACCAGCAAGCCACCTGCCCTGGGCCCTGCTTTTCACCCTACCGCCCTTTTCCTGCCTTGGCCAGAAATAGTGCAGGCTTAGCTCAGCCTGAAACAGCCAAAGTGCCTTTCAAACAGCGTAATAGGCTCAGAGGGGCTTTGTGGGAGCTACGCTTGGGGATCAAACCAGGCAACCATGGGCCTCACTGAGCAATGGCAGCACCCACCACTGCCCCAGACAGCTGGGGCAGAAGGCCCAACAGGCAGCTGTGGGGCTGGTACCCATCCCTGTGGGTGCCCTGAGTGTAAGAAAAGGCCTGGGTCTGAGTTTGGAGGTGGAAATAGCTCCACAGAGCAGCATCTCTTCCAAGTCTGTCCTTGCAGCCCCATCTAGTGTTGTCCTGGGCAAGATGTGGCAGAGGCAGAGTTGTGATCTCTAGCTGTCTGCTGTGTTGCTTCAGGAGCAACTGTGGACCAGAACAGAGAATTAATTGATGCCACCTGAAATGCTCTCTGGGATTGTCCTCACATGCTGGCCCCTGGGTCAGTTCCAGCTGAACCCTCCTGGCACAAACCAAAGTGGAGGATCTGTGAGGATCTCAAAGGAAGGAGACCCCAGGCCGCGAGGGGATGGGAGAATACTGGAGAGAGAGCGGGGGGCTAAGAGGCACCAGCTGCCCCAGCATCACCAGCTCTGGCCTTGCTCTGGCTGTGCTTGGGAGAAGCCCAAGGTCAGAGGTCAGGCCTCTCAGGTCAGAAGCTCCCAAATGTCAAACTCTAACATACAGATATGGCCACCACAGTTCAGAGAAAGGCCTGAACAGCCAGCCAGACTGCTAATGGACTGCAGAACAGAAAGCCAAAAAACAAGACCTCTGACCCCATCCAGAGCTGCCTGGGCTCTCCAGCCCAGTCAGCCTGCCTAGTGCCACTTAGGAACTAACTGCCAGGCGCACCTTCAGCAGGGGCATGGGCGGCCACAGTTCCCTGTGCCGCATGGGTCCTTAAAGTATGTGCAGAATTGTTTGTGGAATGGATGAAATGAACAGGACAGAGAGCTGGACTCCGATGCTCAGACCTGCAAACTGGCATGCTGGCCTGCTATGGCCTTGGTAAAGCCTCCTGAGACCCAGTGGCAGAAGCTGCTAATTTGCTCTTTTTTATTATACAAAATTAACTTAAACACAATCAGTACAAATTAGAAATAAAAGTTTGACTGAAAATGACAAATAAATTAAAATGCCTTTGCATACACTTTAAATAAAGAGCTGCACACCGGCAGTTTATCAAAATTCACAGGCAATAAGAAAACACGAACATGTTTAGGAGGAGCTCGTGAGAGAAGACTCTGTGGTAGAGGTGATGTTTGCAGTGACTACAGTGTTGTCCTTCCACTGTCTGCCTTGTCCTTTCGGTGATTCATGATATCCTGGACCCATTTATCTTCTGGGTTGCCACAGAGCATTGTGCCTTTGACTGTGGTAAATCTGCAGAAGAAAATCCCATTAAAGGAACTGGAGAGAAGAGGCGCCCATTCTCAAAGGACGACCATTGTGGGTGGGAAGTGTAACAGCAAACGGCTATGCTGAGCACCTGCATGCTCCTTGCTGCTGGTGAATCCCACCGAATCAGGCACCTCTATAGCTGCAGAACAGACCCAAGGAAATGCAGGAGGACTGGCCAAATGTCATTACCAGCCTCCTGTTCTCTCTGGCATTTGGGGGAGAGCGCCACCTTCATCCCCAATATGCCTTCTCCAGCCAGGACACCATCCTGCCTGTGATCCACTGTCTGGGAGAGATGACTAGCAGAAGCTCTTTTGACACAAATCTAACAGGGAGGACCACTAGCAGGCTTTCTGAGTTGTGCAGCTTGCCTCTGAGATGTTTTCAGACCGTTCTCTTAACACGGGTGAGCCCAACATGCCGATAGCCATTGGCAGGATGGGGTATGCTGTAGGGTTTCCTGGGGCTACCACACTGCTGCGGGGCAGGAGCCCCCAGGGTTTGAGCAGGAGATCTACTTACATCACAGCTGGCTGGAAGCAGTGGCTGCCTGCGTGCTCGTACATTACCACGCGGTTCAGGGGAATTGCTTTGGTGCTGTATTGGATGCAACAGGGACCGGAAAAGTTGACAGCAGCTAGAAGAGAAGAGATATTTTCTGATATAACCAAACTGGGGGAAATGTCAGCAGGTACAAGCAGGGTCACAGGACCAGAGGGGTCCTGCTGGAGGAGACGCTGCTCCCACTACAGTCTCCCACCACAGTTATCCTTCCCTCAAGAAGCCAGAGTGGCAAGATGTACCTCTCCTTTCCCGCAGCAGACACTCAGAAGGAAGAGGTGCCAAGCATTACTAGACCTTACAGGGCAGTGAGAAAGAGAAGAGCACCCCTCCAAGAGGAGAGCTTGCACTCACCTGGTGAAGATGAGACCTGGTAGCAGAAGACAGACACAAAAAGAACAGCAAGGGCAGCTGTGAAGGACTTCATGCTTCTGCTGGGTGGAGATAAACTGTAGAAGGTCTAGACCAGGGACTACTGCAAAGGGCCCCTTGCTGTGCCTCACACTGGATTCCTGGGTTCTGTTCTTTTTATAGAGGGAGAGGGCAAATAAAGCTGAAAATATGCCGGAAATGTTGCTGAAAGACGACACAAAGGAAAAAGTGTTGTGTCAAGGGTGTAAACCCTGCACAGTAAGTGGCAGAGGGAAGTGCCCAGACCCCAATATGCAGTAATGCCCTGATGCTGCAAGTACTTCATAATGATAAAATACTATGAAATGATAAAGAGAACAGGATATGACCCATGGCCTTTTCCTTTCCCATGACCAAAAGGGCTCTACAGAAAAGTTGAAAGCAATGTTTCAGGATATTAGTAGCTGGACCTTTTGCCTAGAAGTCACATGATGGCCATGGACGGAGAATGAGCGTGGCTGCCACATACACTTATTTCCTAGAATGTCGTCTGCATCACAGGAGAAATAAGGGCAACCCACTTCCCCTACTACAACCACAGCAAGGAGAGTCCACGAGTCAAGCAGCCTTCCCCAGCTGCCCACAGCAATGGGTCAGCAAAACACCCAAAAATGCAAGTGCCAACTGAAATAACAGTATGTCAGCAATCGACATGAGGCTCAGGCATTAGTGTTTACTAAGAATTGTAGAAGCTCATAACCACACTGGTACTATAAAGTTTGGCCTACTTAACTACTTGGTTCTAGCAATGTAGAACCAACATCCCCTTGACTTTGCTCTGTCACTGTCCCAGCATGTTGACCTAGTTCATACTGTTTGGGAGAACAACAGTGTCACTGTGCTGGCAGAGAAACTCCTGCTGGGAACGCTACATCTATATAGAAGGGCTCTGCTGACTTCCAGGCAAAGATTTGTGGAGGAAACCTCAGGAAAATGGAGGAAGGGAAAGGTAAAGTATTGCCACTCACAAGAGAGCATTATAGGGACAGGTATTTGCGGCGCTAGTGAATGTGTCCAGCAGCTGGACAATCACTGTCACAGTGAGAATGCCACACAAGCAGGATGCCTTTCATGATGACCTAGTGGAGGAAATGACTTAACTCCTTTATGGAGGAGGATGATTAAGAAAAGAGAAATCACTGATGAAAGTGGTTTCTAGCCTGGTAAGAACACTGAGGAGGAACTAGCAGAAGGGAAATGAGGAGATTCCCTGGACCAGCTGAGGGGAAACTGATGTGAGGCCCTGGGCTCCCAAGTGCTCCAGGGCATGATGCACACCATCACCATGTCTCAGTAGACTGGACTCCTTGAAAAGCTGAGCCAGACTCTTAAGAAAGGGTGGGCTAGATGGCAATGCAGGATTTGTTTTATGCAGAACTTTTCGTTTCACTAAAACAGTGTTTTTAAGCATGAGTAAACCCGAGCCAGGGTTTCAGGGTGAAACTGTGAGTGGGTGCCTTGCTGCCATGCAAGCAGGGAGCCCGTGCAAGCAGGGAGAGTGGGCAGCTGGAGAGAGCCTGCCCACAGAGCTCTGGGACCCTGAGGCACACGCTACCAGGGCCGTTTGGAAAGGCACTTCTTTAGCAGGGACAGGCAGTTCCCATTACACAGCAAGAAGGCATTTCTGATTCAGTCCACCCCCTGCGTGCCTCTGCAACCATCGTAGCTCTGTCTCCATCTTTGCCTTTGCAGCAGCAAGGCCTTGGGCACGTCCTTTCACCTCTGCATCTCTGTTTCCCCATTGATGGGATTGCTGCCATCTCAGATCATGCCTAGGGATTAACTTCCCAGGCAGGAGCCCTGTGCTGGTACAGTCTGAGCCAAGGCTGAGGCTTTACTCATGTATGGCAGAGAGGGACTTGCGGTACCCTGCTCTGAAGAGCTGAGGATCTCGGGATTCAGCTGGGAGCCTGTCTGCTCTACAACCTCCCTTGTCCTGTGCTCCTGAATCCCTGTCTGGAGTCCATTTAGATGCTAGGAGGAAGCCTCCCTTCTCCCAGGGACACTGGGTCCCAGTTCCACTGTCTGGCTGGATCTGCTCATCCTACACTGCACAGAATGAGGTTAGGGAGATGTCCGCCTGCTCCTGGTCCATACCTTGAGCAGACTGGGGTTGGCATCATACCTTCAACGGCCATCATCTTATCCACAGTACGCAGCTTAATCTAACAGCCTCTGAAGCTTGGCTGTCCCCAGGAGCTGCTAGGAAGGGGGTCAGGCAGGCCACAGCAGCACCCCAGCATGGCCTGTCAGCACCGACAACAGCAGGGCTGGCCTAGAAGGAAGGTGTGTGCTGAACCACACACCAAAATCCACAGTACCTCTGCACCCTTACTGCCTCCCCTCTCCAGCATCTCCTGCAACATGCGTGTCCATCCGTGCTTCACTCCCAGGACGTCTGGGGCAGAGACACAGCAGCTCTCCTCCATCCCAGTTGAATGGCCCAGTTCAGGCAATCTGCACCTCCAGCCTAGGAGGAATCACTCCCCTCGCCCTGTTCCACTGCCAGGAGCTACCAGCACCTTTTTTCAGAGGTTGCTGCACAGGGATGCTGGGTAAGGCAGGGGCGAAACAGGGCTCCCAGGCAGGGAGCAGGGCACATGGGTGGGAGCTGCCTGGGCCTCAGGAGTGCCCCTTGTACCCTCTCTCTCCATGGGCCCTGCCACACATGGGATGGACACAGCTACCTGAGACAACAGACAAAACATTTGACGTGACTTAGATAACAGACCAAGACCAATGCCACTGCCTGAGGCAAGAGACAGCAGATTAATTCTAGGGGTGCTGGAAACATCCATGGAGACAGGTAGGACAGAGCAGGAGACTGGGGAGCCACACGGACAAACAAGGTAAGACACCTGTGATGCGCCAGGATCTTGACAACCTACTAACCAAGTTGCCACCAACACCTGCTGCTCTCATAGCCCTACTTCTGCCATTTTTTCAGTGCTTTCACACCCAAACATACACACTCATTCTCCATTCAGACTGATCTCAAAAATTCTGCTACACATCTCCACAGAGGGATTGGAATAAAACTGAGAGGAGGAGAACAGGCTGGAGAAAGCTGAAGATGTCATCACTGATGCGGCTAAAGCACCAGCACAGCCTAGTTTGGAGTTGCTTTCAGTTCAACATTCTGAATGTTCTTGCAATGTTCAAACATGGTTTTGATGGAAATGTCAAGATTTGTTTTAAAAATCGATATTTTCTATCAGAAATATATATGTGCCTAGACATTTTCCATGAATTCTCTCTCCCTTCAGATATACTGACCATGTTTCCTGCTTTTGCTCATTGCAAAAGGTGTTTGACACCTGTTATTCCCCTGTTCCACTGTTTTCATCAACTTCACTCCTTCCTTGAAGGGAGATTTTGTATTTCAGTTTTGGCTGCTCCCTCTTGCCAAGACAAATAATGTAAATCTCTAAATATTTTGATTTCTAAAGCCTCCTCTATACCATACATCCTAAGTTGAACTATTTATGGAATCTGTAAAACCTCTGCCTTATGGTGTGTTTCAGCTTCTGATAGAAACCACACATGGTCTCTTTGGACACATTATCAGAACAGATTTTGGAGACAGGAGGAAGTCTCTTCTTTCCCTGAAGGCAGTCTGCTCCACTACACCTACTGTCAGTTTTGAAGTCACATCTGGGGTCACATTATCACAGAAAAAGAAGCAATGCTCCTGGGAGCTGCAAGATCACTAACATGGAGAACTGCGGCTTAAACTGGGAACAAATTAGGTGGAAACAGAAAAACAATGACTGGCAGTAGTGAGCGATCACAGAGTGATCTCAGCAAGATGTCAGATTTATCAGGAGACGTATTTTCAAGAGGAATAGAGACTTATCAGTGTGGGAAAAGGAACCTTCTGCAAAGTCTGCAAAATTATGAGCGGCCTGGAAAGAGAGACAAACACTGACTATTCACCCTCTCTGCTAGTACGAGAACTAGGGACCACCAAGTGAAGCCAGCAGGAGCCAGGTTCAGAAGGAACAGAAGAAAGTGACTCTTCATACAAGGAGTAATAGACCTGGGGAGGTCCTCAGCAAGGGCCATGGTGATCACAAGGAATTCTCCTTGTGTCCAAGACTGGACATGGATTTTGAAGTGATAAGTTCAGGAGGACTCATAAACAGAACAGTTGGAGGTCAGGAGTGCACTCAAGGGAGGCAACACAAATACTTGTCTTTCTCTTCAAGGGATCTGCTCGTGGCCACACCTGGAGACTTTAATTCTGGGCTAGACAGGTCCTTAGTCTGCATCCTCTGGGGCTGTTCATGTTTCATTCCCCAGGGCAGCCTGTTTCACAGGACTACAAGGTCTGTAGCTGATCTTAGGAAATTGCACTGAAATGCTTGGGTTGAAGTATATACATCAAGGTATGCCTCCAGATGAAAATTTTGGGTAAATATCAGCAGAAAGACACCTGTAGTTTCTAAGCACACAGCAAGGCAGAAATATATTATTGCAGTTTGTGCTATTACCCAAGATAAATTTTGGGGTGCCCAGAAAAGCCTCACTTTGGGACCAAGAGCCTAAAGAGTGAGAGGGAGCTGGCTGCTGTGGCAGGAGGTGGCCCTCACAGAAATTTGGCAATATTTTCCAAGGACAGAGACAGGCTGCCTTTGTGAAGTCAAAGCCATGCACGTGTATCCTGCATTCCCTGAAGATGTCCTCAGCAGTGAGCACCAACTTGCTTGGAGCTGAGCAGGATCTGTCCAGCACCTATAGCAGTGTGTGGCTGTTTTACCTACAGTAGCTAAGGTTCAAAGAAACAAAGAGAAAAACTGTTTGCTCATTTTGGGTGCCAGCTTTGAGACACTTGGCTCTTGGTAATTGCCTAACACTACATGGCACTTTGTATTTGCAAAGTCTCCCTGCCGTTGCCTTCACCGCAGCTGGAGGTACTTGCAGCTCCTGCAGATCAGACTGTCAGATTTCAGGCATCCAGAAAATAAAGACAACGCTCTACATGAGCACTGGAGAAAGCTGGGTTATCTCTGTACTATAAAGGAAGACAGGGATAGACTCAGATCTGCAACCCAGGCCTTCCTCTAGCCCCCACCTTGTTAACTACCCTTGGTCTTCCTCAACAAGCACAGGGGTCTCACTGCCAACACTGCACACCCTGATTCAACCACAGAACACCTTTTATCAGTGATCACATCCTGGCAGTCGAAGGCTGTCTTTTAACAAATCAAGCTCGCCATGTCCTACCTTGGGAGCAGTTGGCCTTTCTCACCTCCTGCTCCTTGCACAAGCAGCATGTGAGATGTGGTGACCCTCACAGTTGTGTATTCAGCTTTGTGCAATGTTCCTGATGGACCTGCTGCCTGTGTAGTGGTGGAGCTCTCCAGGCAGCCTGGGTCAGAAACTTGCTCTGGAGCAGAGCCTGGCAGTGGGAAGCGTTTGCCATCTGCTGGAGGGCTCCACCACTACACAGGCAGCAGGTCCATCAGGAACATTGCACAAAGCTGCATCATAGATTAAGGTCCCAGTTTGGTTAGGGTGCTCTCCCTTAGGCCCAATTGATAACCATGCTGAGCTTTCTTCTTGGACAAACAGAGGCAGATGGTGAGGCTTTAGTGCAGAGAAAGCACCTGATGATGTTTTGGATTTTCATCCCACAAAGGCATACTTGAAAAATCTGAGCAATTAGGAGAGCTCACCCCAGACAGAGCAGACAGGGCCACATGGAACCCTCATGCTCTGTAGATAAATGCTCTTTTCCAAGATCCTCTTCCTGACCCCTTTCAAGTGGCCACCTTGCCTCAGCTGCCCTCACAGGTGGGATCTGGCATTCCCGCACGAGGAACAGCCCTTCCTTTTGCTGCTCACCATCCTGCATAGTAGGCCAGGTGGGGCTGATTCCTGCAAAGGCTCTTTGTCAGCCCTAGCACCCTAGGATTCAGCAGCAGCAGCTGTTTTACCCAAAGCTTTAGAAAAATGGAATCAAAAGATCAAAACCCATGCATGTGCAGGCTCTCCCTGGTGCACTGCACTGCCCAAGGTGATACCATGTGTGCTCTGCTCTCCCATGAACCCTTCCACTGGGCCTGGGCCACCATCCTGCACCCTGCCCTACCCCTGCATCAGGTGGACACTTTGGTTCATCAGATACTTTTGTCTCTGGGTGTCAGCAAATAGCCCCGTCACTAGGTCACACTTATATTTGTGGTTGTATGATTGTATTTAGGGAAGGCTTAGCAAATGGCCACAGACCTCCCCCGGTGTGGCTTTCCAGGAGATGCGCCCTCCAGGGATGGCTCGCCTCCCCTGGTGGGATCAGCACATTGTGTCTTAGGGTGTCTAAGATGGTGACGGAAGCTCGGACACAGGGTTCGGAGTTCATGTCCAGGGGGAAAAAAGAGAAGGATCTTTGCACAGAGCTCTGTGCCCGTCTGCTCCAGCACAGCCAGCTGGATAACAGAGGAAGGACTGTGGCTTTCTCTATGCCTCTTTTTTCTTGCTGAAACAAGGGGGATCTGTGCTCTCCCTGAGCCTTGTCCAGGCCATGAGAGGGTGAAGAGTGTTGCAACAGCACCCTGGGACTCTCCCAGCTCTGTTTGGGGAGGGAGGGTTGAAAAGGGAGCCTCTAGCTCCCAGTTCTTGAGAACAGAGCCTGTCAAGACCCACAGCCCTCAACAGTCCCTTCTGGCCCCCCTGCTGCCATTCATGTTCCCCTTTGCTTATGGAGCCTTTGGGTCAACTTTGATTGGGATCAAGATGAGAAAGAACGTCCCTGTGGAAAGGGAGCAGCCCCCCGTTTGGACTGTTATGGGCAGGGGCCCTGGAGCAGGTGAGCAGCAAGGGAAGGTCGTTCTAAAGAGCCCTGCAGCTAGGGAAAGGACCAGCTCTAGTCCCATCTCCCCACCCCGAGCCAGCACTTGCTGAGTGTCATGTGCTGCTGAGCACTAGGTTGCCCTAGAGGCAACAAGAGAGGGGACCCACAGTTCTTTCCATGTCCCAGCAGATACCAGCCCCAGGGTCTTCGTCCTAAAGAAGATATTCAGGTACAAACATCTCAGGTAGCTACTGAAAGAAAGGATGGTCGCCTTGCTCCACAGCCCAAGCCACCCACCGAGACCTCCTGTCCTATTCCTTTCCATCTCTCCAAACCACTTGACCTAGAGGAAAAGACCTCGCCTCAGGAACAGCCCTCTGCCTTGTGCTCTCCCACAGCATCTCATAGTCTGCCTAAGAGCAAGGCACTTGCTCTCACCAGAAAGTAGTCCCCCAAATTCCTGTAGAGCAGCTGAGCTTGGGCCAGAGCCTGAAAGCACAATCCAGCAGAGCCACTGGATGGATTAAGCCAGCCCGGGGTGGTCTGACTGTCATGGGCTGGATTCCAGCTCCATCCTGTCACAGTTCCTTCCTTGGTGAAGACAGGAGCAGCCAGTAGGAACAGCATGTTGCAGCCCACATCCAGCCACCTTCCTCTGTCCTGCACAGGCTCAGGAAAGGATGGACGCAACTCTGCTCCTCAGGAAGAGGGAGCAGCTAACCCAAGTCACAGCCTTGTGGTTTCTCATCCAAAGGTTAATGAGAACTCAGCCCTCCAGGATCCAGGCTTGCATGCCGGAGGGGTCATGCTAGAGCTGGATGCTTTTGGACACACTGAGGGGTGGGAGAGATAAGTGTATTGGAAGGGCTTTGTGTTCCTTTGTCAAGTGCCCTCCACTCTTCTTTCTTTACTTAATCTCTATTTGGCAATGACGTCATTTCTTCAATTATTAATCACCTTGCTGCAACAGTGACTGAACTAAACCCATTAAACCTCCTCTGGGAGCAGCCCCAAGGAAGGAGGCAGGTTTCCAGAAAGTACATTAGAGAGAAGGCAGACAGGGAGTCGAGACAACCTGGTGTGGGAGGAGATGGCCTTGCTGCACAGTATAGGCCATTTGCCATCCGCTGGGAATTTGATAGCCAAGGCAGGAGCACAAACTAGTGTAAGACATATAGTACAAACAGCCTGTTCACAGGTCCCATTGGCCAGCTACAGAAGGGTGCTTGTTTGGCAAATGTTTCAGCTGAAAAAAAGGTTCAGAAGTGCAGGGAAGAACTGCTTACACAAGAGCTCATGGCATGAGAGCTCTCAATGTGAAGAAATCCCAAATGTTGTTGCCAGATTACCCCCATCACTTTTGGCAGTGGTGGACAGGATGGTTTTGCACAGCTACTCCTCATGTAAAGATGCCGATTTTGTATGACTTGCTTTTAAGAATCCAGGAATTTGGCTAGCACAACCCCAGCACAGACCCCTTTAGCATCATCAGGGATTAACCAGGGAACAGCCTGATAGGGTTTTCAGGCTCTCTGCAAAAATGCTGATTTGTCAGAATTGGGAGATTTTGCAGAAATGTGAAAGTTCTGACAAACATCCTAGTGGGAAAAGCTCCTCTACTGTGGAAGGGGATTCCTGGTCAAAACCGCAAGAGCTGGCCACAGCCAGGTAATCTAGCGATTTGCTGGGCTGAGAGAGGGCAAAGATCAGGCCACAATACAAGTCTCAGATGAGTGAACGGACCAGAGAGACGAACCCAGATCATGTTATCCTAAAGAGCATTTCTGCCACCAATCTCTCAACTGTTCAGGGGAAGTAAAAAACATCTCCTTTTTATCTTTCCTTGTTTTTTGGACAGAAGTAACAATATTTTGCCCATCTGCCAGCGTTACCAGAGAAATGACCTGTCTATTTTCCTTGCTCTGCTCAGTCAGCTGTGTCCACAGCTGCACACGTCTCCCAAGCTCCTTGCCCACAGCTTGGACAAAACAGCACCTATCTCCCCTTGGCAAAGACCCACAGGGCCTTCCTGCACGCTGCTGGTCTCCCTGTCCAAAGCGACACTGACCTGCAAAGGCAAAGGCTAACCTGCAAGAAAACCACCCGAGGCATGCTTCCCTGACATTTCCTCCCTGGTCCCAAGCAGGAATTTGAAGCCACGAATCCAACCTAGATCTTAAGCCAAGCCTGACTAAGACTACTCAGCAGGATAGCGGGAGCACAGTTCACCCCAGCAAAGGTAAGGTGAGGGGGTGGAAGACAGTGCCCTGGAGACGTGCACCCCTCGGGCTCCCTGTAAACCATCCCTCCCTGGAGGCGCTGCAATGGCGGGGCCATGCAGGGAGCGCGGCATGCCTCCAAGTGCTTACCTGGTCAGTTTACGCTTTGTGACAAGCTGGTGAGGGGGAGCACGCTGTCCCCTCCCAGGGCAGCCCAGGCCAGGCTAGGGGTATATGAGGGAACCGCGTGGCCTGGTGCCTGGGCAGAGCCCGGGGCAGGGACGGGGCGCAGCAGGCCGGCTGCTGCTGGAGGCTCCCAGC